TAAAAATAAGTTAATCCCCGTTGACAGGGTTGCCACAGATTTTCATAGACCAAATTGAAAAACTTTTTTATGACCATTCACAACCTATAAGTACACAAACAGAACTGTATTGTACAGGCCTGTTTGTTACAGACACAAATGAGCAGTCAAACCCACAGGACTTGTCTGACAGGGTTTGAATCAAATTCAGACCTGCTGTTATCAGAGGAGGAAGCACGAAGATGCGCTGCGGAGAGCAGCAACTCCACCTTGATGTAGATCTGTTTGCCTAAAAAGAAAACGCATTTGGTCCTATGTTCTTTCATGCCATGGGACCTGAACATGCATGGTTTAGATACGCTGGCCCATCAGTGACCACAGACACTCCTCTATGCATTTTCTCCACACTATACTGGAGTGCATGTGCCTAGTGGGATATTATATTATTCTGATCACCCCTTGCTGGCCCAGGAAGGCATGGTTCACGGTGATCATGGTACTGCTGAACGGGAAGCCCTGGTGCCTCCCTGCGTGCAGAGGCTACTATCTAAGTGTTCTTCCTTTCCAGAGGTCCACAGTAGATGTTTTGACATTCATTCAGGAATTATTGGAAAAATGTTGTTCCTTTTCTATGGTAGAAGTCTCTGCAAACCTACGGTGGGACCTCGCCCTGGTTCTAGACAAACCATTAAAGTCTATTGGTATTGATATGCTCTTTTATAGGACTGCATTCTTATTGGCCCTGTCTTCAGCTATGCACATAAGGGACACACATAGAGCACAGATTGTGCTGAACAACTGTAAAGTGATGTTGCACCCCCATTTGCATCGGCCGAACAACAGCGCTTACCTAATTTGTGAACACATTTATATTAAGTGAACGCAGGAGATGCAGACAACGGACAATCTTTTTGTCTGATTAGCTAACACAGTCAAAGGGAAGGTACTTTCCGCCTTTCTCATTGGGTTCTAGAGGCAATTTCCCATGCTTACACGTTTTGGAATGGCTCTCTCTTGGTATTCTTTTTAAAGGGGTTTCAGTGAAGCATGTTTATTCTGTAATGAGCTGAGCTTCTGTACATACATTAGTAAAATTGCCTAGATGTTATGTCAGCAGGGAAGTTTCTTCCTCACTGCGGTCTAGCTCCAGGGGAGTCTCGGGGCACAATGCTAGATCCCCATACTTAGAATAGTAGTTAGTACAATACAGGTCAGCCCCTTACCACCTTCTAACTCTGTGAAGTGCTGTTTAGATTTAGGAGGAGGGACTGTCTTTTGTAGCCCAATGGGAAGATGGGACTTCCCCTGCCTGCGACAGTCTCATTGGCCTTGATAGGCATTTTGAAAGAGTTTCTTCAGGCTGGTCTCGTGAGGACACAATCCCCATACTTATGTGTTGTACCTGTTTTCCCACCTTCAGAAAACATTGGTTATATGTATAACCTTCAGTTTTGTTGCCCAGCAAATGCCTGCCAGAAGATCAGTGGATTCTCATATATATGCAGTAGAAATGGATGCACCTGTAATTTTCCAATGTCATTTGATCTTAATTTAAACCTGTGCTTGTTTTTTAAAGGAAAGGAGTGCAGTCAGGATGAGAGTACCGCTGCGGCCATCTTTACTGTGCAGCTGGATGACTACCTCGTGTGGAAAGCCGGTCCAATATAGAGAACTAGAGGGAGTCGAGTCAACAGCCTTCACCAGCTACTTCAAGCGAGGGATCACTTACAAAGTATGGATCAAATTCATTACTGGTCTGAAAATTGAACATCATTGGACATCATGTACAATTATGACTTGACGCTCAATTATAGTTGAACTGTTATATACGTTTATTTACAGACACTTCCCTAGCAACCCCTTAGAGGCTGTAGTGTTCATCCATACTACACCATGCAAAAGACAACAACATCTAGACAATTTGATAATATTCAAGGGTGGCACTAGAGGAAAGGCCATGTGGCTACAAAAGACAAAATGTTTGTTCTCTTGGATGCTTAAACATGTTTAGCACTTTTTATGGCATTGACCCTTTTCTTGCAATTTTAAGGAAAAATACTTATAGTATATATAGTGATTAGCACTAAATATTAGCTTTAATTACCTCAAATGGAAAAAATATATATATTTAACTGGAGTTTAAACAATGATTTCCAGAGGTGTAGCAGCATTATACTTGGCCACAAAAGTAATAAAGTAATAAATTCAATAAAGCTGACAGTGTTCTCTGTCCCTCAGATAGGAGGCGTGGCCTCGGGTTTCCACCATGTGGTCACCAATGACCTTTCAGCACAGAGACTCCTCCACATCAAGGGCCGGCGGGTCGTCAGGGCCACTCAGGTCCCTCTCAGCTGGTCCAGCTTCAACAGTGGAGACTGCTTCATCGTCGACCTTGGCGACGTAAGGGCACAGTGTTTTCTTGCTGAATGTTTGCAAACTGGATTATCTATACAGAAGTTTCTATGATTCCCTGTCTGCCAATTTGTAGAAGATCTATCAGTGGTGCGGATCCAAGTGTAACAAGTTTGAGCGACTGAAGGCAACACAAGTGGCCAGAGGAATCCGTGACAACGAGCGGAGCACTCGTGCTGAACTGGTGGTTGTAGAAGAAGGAAGTGAACCTTCCGAGTTAACTGATGTGAGTCTCAACTTGTTCTGTGATACATTATTTTACATATGCAGTTCTTTATCACCCACATGTCTCATGATATGTCTGAGTTATTATTAAATAAATCTATTGAATTAAAACAGAACTGAACATTTTGCTTTTTCTGTGTGGGAGATGTTTAGATGGATTTCAATCTCATGTCTGTATGTTAAGTACAGACCTGGAGTCGAGATGTCAGATCACAAACAGAAATGTAAAACAGTTTGTGGTTTTAAGGGAAGATCCATGCTGGAACTATTCTTATTGAAGAACAGCAGTGTACCATCCACCCACCAAACCTGGCAACCTCAATTTAAGAACATGACAGCCCCAGGAAATGATTGCTCCCTTTTTTGTTGTTTTTACATGTTTGTGTACGGCTCAAACTAAAATCAATAACTAACCCTGACCCTAACCCTAACCCTAACCCACCAAATGTGAAGCAAAATTGTTTTGTTTTTTTACTTTGGACAGAGCCAGGCTAGCTGTTTCTCGCTGTAGAATCCTTATGCTAAGCTAAGCTAACCACATCTTGACGGCAGCTTTGTATGTAATGTATAGAGAATTATTCCTTTAACAGCTTGCCATCCTAGCTAACCTAATTCAGTTTACCAGAAAGGCAAATCGTACTGATTTACATTTTTCTTGTTAGCCTGAATTACTGAATTACTTGTAATACAAATGTTTCCACACTAACAGGTCCTTGGAGTGATGCCAAAGCTGTCAGAGGGAGATGATGATGATGATATAGTAGCAGACATGTCTAACAGGAAAATGGCTAAACTATACATGGTACAGTGTTCACACACACAGAAAAACAGTAATTCAATTTAATGTACTGTAAAAGGAAAACTGGACATTTTTGGGAGGATTGGTCAGTTGGTTGACTTAAATACTGATACTTACATTAGGGAAAAAATATTAACCTATCACATCAAATGAGACAATGTAATTTTGCATCATACATTTTATCACACGGGACGTTGTCCTGCATACATGCACACTAAGTTAACTTGATGTGACTCTTGATGAAAGTCTCTAAAGTTGCATCATTTCATTTGACAGAATTTAGTTGAAGATGGGAAAAACTCTTGCTAAGTGCTTTCTGACAGTTAGAAGGTTGTTAGATCAGTGCTTGAATTAGACCAAAAATGTAGCCTAATGCAGCACAACCCAAACCCTAAACACAGCAAAACCCTAACCCAGATTATTTTGCCATTTTAAATCCATCCATTTCAACAAGGTCTAGCTATGTCTGTACACAGAGACACAGTTACTTAGGCATTTGAGTGCCTAAATCTTGTATTACTACTGTACTACTGTGTTTTGAAAAATACCAGTCCAAAAACTAAACAGACTAGGCAGGGTTGGGGGTATCCAAAGTGTCAAAGTAAAGTTATTTGTAGGCAATTATTTCACGACTTTTATTGTATACCCTTCAGAAAAAATACAGGGGTCTGCAACTCTGTCACCTTATGGGTAAAGCCATGCTGACCAGAGGTGGGTAGACTCATTAGGAAGTAAGGGTACTCATGTGGGCAAAAATCTGAAGTGCCAGTACTCAGTACCAGTGTATACTGGCCCATTTCAGGCACTGCATTAGATCACTAACATTGCTAATAGAACACACAGTTTATTCCAAAGACATATTTGTACTGTTGACTCTTGTCTCTAACCTTGAGAGGCAGCTGGACTCACAAGGTAGTTCTAGTTCCTCTCATCTGGTGCAGTCAGGTTGCAAAATTACGGCTTATCAATTAATCAATCAATTCAGTTTATTGTCCTTCAAGGGGGAAATTCATGTTCACATNNCATACACTCAACAAAGAAACACGCAATCCACAATTAACAAATCTTACTAAATCTAAAACAAAAAAAACAAACAATCAAATAAATAATACATGACAGGTTACACACTCAGCGCGCCCCTTTGTTTAAAGCAGCAATAGCTGCAGGGATCAGGCTTTTCCCATAGCGAACTTTCTTGCACCTCAGTGTTCGGTACCTCCGTCCAGAAGGCAGTGGGGTGAGATATTGGTTGAGTGGGTGTGTAATGTCCAGTTCTATTGTGGTTGGTGATGCGTTTGAATTTTGTCTGGTTGGTGACAGTCAGCAATGGCATTGTAATTCTTAAGTCACCTCTCTCTTTGTTTCAATTGCCAGCTGAT